AAATTGTCAATGTACACATTTGTCAAAAGAGGAGAGAGTTGAGATCTCATCAGTAGTTCAAATCTTTGCTCGAAGATACTACCCTTAAATGTAAAATATGTAGTCCTTACTATCAGGTTAAACAATCGTGTTAACGATTCGTTCCGTATTCGTTCTGAGTCAAAAATGTCCTCTTCTCTTTTCAACATCTGCAGCAAGGCGCTTACCGCCTTTGCGCCTGAGATGTTTGTGTAATTGGATTTAACATAGAAGCTCACTAACAGTTTCGACCCCACTAACCAAATGTTTTGGATCCTTTTAGTAAATTCAAATGAATTCCTAACGGTATTCAAGAATCTGTTATTTACTTTCTTAAGCTTCAAACAAATGAATTTCGCTAGTTTGTTTATTGCTTCAAGCATGACAGACCAGAAGTCACAGAGGGTTCGAGATCCATGTGGCAAAGGCCTGACCATAAAACTTACTTAGAGGCTTGAGACTCGAATTAGTTAGCCAGATACAGGGTAGGGCCAATAACACCTCAAGTTGGTACAGATAGGGTGGCAGGAGTCGAGTGAACTATGTGAACCAGAGAGAGGGGAGACGGATCTTACGGGGCAAGAGAGAGACTGTGGTAAGTCCTAGGGAAGGAGGACTGCGTAACAATATGGCAGACTCCGTTTGACATTCCCAGCACAAGGATGAAGGGCGGGGAGAAGGCCAGCGTGGAGTGCGGAGGGTTCTCATGAAAGCAGCTAAAAAAGGGCACACCGTACCACATTTAATTAAGCAAGTAAAATATTGTGACATTGAAGGCATGATTGAAGGATATAGGAAATGTGAATAGGCCAGGGCAGAATGGAGGATACCATAACTGTTTAGCACACGTTTGGTCAAAGGTTCGGCTTCACTTGACTCTTGGGCGAGTTGTAGTGTTTTGCTAAGACTGGCAAGACACACTGACGATTCCCACTACGATGCCGGCGAAACGGCTGGGAATGTACCACGTCCGCGGTCCGACTTTGGAAATTATCATGCACACAATGGACTCCGAACTAGGTGTGTTCCTCTAGGTCTTTCTACCAATATGACCATGTTGCGAAAACAAGGTCAGACAACCTCTATACAAGAAAAAAGGAGACTGCGACCACACAAAAGGCCAGGCCATCCTGCTCTTCATACCTACAATTCTTTATTCTTCTATTGTAATTGCATTCATTTGTTATTCAAGTCACTATGGGCTCAAGGTGATTCAAAGGCTAGTAGTTAAATGATCCTTTAATTAAATTAGTAGGCCTCATGTTGCTACTAGTTAGTCATGGTAAAAGCTGTATTCACTCTTTTTCATTTGGGGTGATGAAGGTTGGGTAGTTGAATTTTCCCACAATGATATGATTATAACTGATGCTTCCATTGAATTTCACATAGCCTTGAATTCAGGGTGGACTACAGTTTAGACCTCGAATAGGTCTTATCAACACCCCCAGTGGGTCTCGAACCATGATAGTGCAGCGTGTAATCTTGACATGTTGACCACCGCCATAATGCCACGAGTACGCTTGGGTCAGGGGGCAGATGAGAGTTTCAAGGGAGGCCAGGCATTTCTCAAATACCACATTCTTTAATGGGATTGTCGATGAAGCAAAGCTATATTTGCTATAACTATCGGCTGCATTAATTATACTTAGTTTATAAGTAGGGTTTCAGGACTACCAGTAAATCAGTTATATGAGATGTACTCATCCTATTTTGTTTAAGGTGATGAAGGACTAGTAATTCAATTTTCTAAGAATGATATGAGTTGAGATGATGCTTCCATTGAATTTTTCATAGCTTTGCTGATAGTCTGGAAATCCTACTGATAAACGAATGATGACTAATTCAATGGATTATTATAGCGAATATAACTCCTTCATCGATAATCCCACCAAAGAATGTGATATGGGAAAATACCTGACCTCCCTTGAAATTCACATCTGCCGATTCATAATTAGATTTATTCATTCTATTACGTTTATGACAACGAAAGGCTGTC